ACGCCGATACGAAGTGTGGCTAAAGCATTTTGGGAGAGTTTGCCCAAACAATAGCAAAGGGCAACGAGAACATTGTAAGTCTGACTTAGTATTACCGAGACTTTTTTTAAAAGGAATGTCTTATGTGACTCTCATTTGGAAGGTTTAGGGTTCTTGGCTCACGAGCGCGCACATTCTCGCACATCGAGCTATTATACTTTCTGCATTCATATAGAAAAAGTTGGATTTTACAAAAATTTATATATCAGTGTGTTCTTTCCAATTTTCCCGCTCAACTTCATTCTCTTCTGTGCAATGTGGGAATTCATAATTTTCAATGTATAATATATTTATTTTATGTTAATAATATTTCAGTACCGTTGAATCTTTTCTTATGCCAATGACGATTGACTTAAAGTTTATCGTTTCGATTATAATAGACTGCGACTTTTGTTAAATAATCCATAAGAATTGTCCAATAGCACCAAGTAGTTCATTGAAAAGAGAAGCCATTTAAAGTAGGATGTTTTGGCAAAAAAGGAGACACAAGTAACATTAAAAGTGTGAATTGATCAGAGCTTATTTGAATTTATACAAAACTTTAAAAAATGTTTGACATTGTGTACGTATTCAACAAAATTAATGACAATACGAAGTAAAATTCGTAGATTCGAAATTCTCGACATTGACGCTTTTAATAACTAGATGCATTTATATTCTACTATTTTATAATCATATATTTATTATTAAATATGTCTTTATATAAATTAAAAGTAAGAAAATAATTAATTGTTAATTTCATGATATTCGTCTTAAAAGTTCGGCGAAGTCATTTGATTGATTTATTATGATCGATGATTTCATTAATTTTGTTAAAAGTTCTTCACTCATCGCAATTAAAAAAAGCTAACATAAGCACGAATATATGACTTCTTTCTTTTTTTTTTTTTTTTTTTTTTTTTTTTTTTTTTTTTTTTATAAACACGTACGTATAGACGTATACGCGTCTGCTTGCACGTGTGCATTAATAAAATAAGAAATAAGGAGTCATATTTTCGAAATACACACACGATGAATTAATGATCTATAATGAAGCGATCAAAGAATTGAAATAAACTAATTATCTTGCTATTATTGAAATTACTTAAAATCTGCCGCGCAGCTTCGTCAAAGCTATAAATAAAAAAAACGATTAAAAGCATATGGATACAATTATTTTTAAATGTAACTTTTAATTATTCGTTAGACCTAAGAACAATGTATCAAACACCTACAATAGTACAATAGTCGGAATTTGATAAAAACTGCACTTTCACGCTAACTATTAATATTTATTATACACTTAATTTTTATTATATACGTAACATTTGCGAGTTTGCAAAATTCTAATTGCTGATACAATTTTTAAGATAAATATGCAGCATTCGCATTGAATCGTTTAACGTTGTTTGCGGTTATTTTCAAAAAATCGACATTTATATTTAATTTAACATATGTAACAGTGATTAAAATTTCGAGGATTCTTAAACAACATATCTGATATATTAATAATTTAATGTGTAATTGTTAATTATTTTGGTAATTTCTCCTATAGTATTTCTCTTATAGTATAATTATTTGATATGATATGATGTTAGTTATCGTAAACATTTTTGCAAGAATTTTTATTTTGATTATAAGAATACTGACTGAGTTGAGAAAGATAACTTATTTTATAGTTTCATAATGGTATGATTAAACATGATTATATAAAAAATTTACTCGTAATAAGATAATATAGAATAATTTAGAATCCAATTAAGTTACTATTAAAAAAAGTTTCATTTTGAATTGAAAAGCCGATTAAAAATATATTTGTCATTTAAAAAAAAATTGCTGTAAAAATCAAAATAATATGACATTGCATATGCGTCATTAAGCTGAATATAATTTTTTAAATGATTTTAAATGATTGCAAAATAAGCCTGTCCGAATTTCTTCGATGTATGATGTGAACTTAATTTTATTAATAAAGCAAAAATTTCTAAATATATGTATTTTAGACAGAATATCATAATTGACCAAATGATGGATTATAATATTATTTATCATGAGTATTTGCATTACGTAGGTGATGATGTAGAAACAAGTAGAAACAAGCTATTCGAAATTTCTCTAAATTTAAATATCAAGATTTTGTTTACTTTGAGTTGTTTGAGTTGAGTTGTCAAGTTACATTGAGCTTTGTAACGCATTGAACTAAATTAAAAATCGATTTAAACCTTCGTTAAGGTATTTTCGTTTAATATAGTTGAATAGTACAAACATCATAATCATACCTATAAATTAAATCCTTATTAGCGTAAAAATATTAATTTTTTTTTAATTATAGAGAAATAACAATATTTTCATTACATTTTCACAATTATTCCTAATGAACATATCCATAGGATTTTATTACATTTTCTTAATTTAGCTCTTTAGTCCTTTGCTAATAAGATATCAGTTATTATTAAAATAAGCAGAAATTATAAATCAAATTATTTTAATATTGTTATTGTACATTTAACGAAACCTTACATACAAAAGTAAATATAAAAATATAATAATCATTAGAAATGATTTATTGATTGCGGTGAATGAAAAATTCATAAAAATAATTTCATAAGATTTATTTGAATTCGATGTTTTATTTAAAATAAAAAAAATATGTTGATATTGTTTGAAAACGTATATCTTGATGATAAAATATTTCTCGATGAGAATAAAGCATTTTATTTTACTAATTTTAGAATTTCCAATGTTTATTTATAAATATAATATTTTCATTTTAAAAACTTTATAAGGAATGAAAAATGTATACAATAGTCAGATAAGAATATAATTTAGGTTGCAAATTAATAAATATAATTAGTAGTAATAGTATGAAATAACTGGACCGTGGTAATTAATAATATAGATAATAAACATAATAAATACTGTTTTATCAGTATGTTCATAGTAAAATGAAAAATTGAAAATTAGCTAGATATTATAAATATATTGTACAAATAGATTTTCATAATTATAACTAAAAAATTATCTACGTTGCCTTTACGTAAGCATAAGTGTATATTGTTAATCTTCATTTTGCTTCCTACAGATGACTTGAAATAAATTCTTATGATAAATAATTAATTTTTTATATTAATAAACAATATATACTAGCTTTTGTACTTTTTTTAATGCTAAAAATGTAAAATCAGAAAATATAAAATTGAATTAATTATGCATTTCAATGCTTTAGCGCACTGTATTGGAGTCAATAAAAAAAAAAAAAAAAATTGTAAAAACAAACACTGTTCGTGAAACTAAATTATAACAATTTTTATGACACTTTTTATACTTAATATTTTTGGTAGTAGTGGTTTTGTTATATGTATGATTATAGGGGCGAATTCGTTGACTTATTAACTTAAGGTGCTTCTCGTGGCAATAACATCTTGGAAATTTACGTATATTTTAATGGAGAAGTAGCTCGGAGCTTGAGGTACATACATTTTCCGCAATCGACTGAAAATAGAACTGAAGAGACTCTTATAGGGAGCTAGCTACAATGACAAGAGTTTACCAGGGAGTTTCCATATAACAATTACTACCGATTAATCATTGAATGAAAAATATTGTTTATTAGGTATATACACGTTATAACAATAAGTTACAATCTAATTTAATCTCATTATTAATTTGATATGGGATCATCGAGCCTTACAATCACATCATAATTAATTATTAAAAATTACTAACTTATAATGAATTATGAAAACTGATAAATAATGACTATTTTTCTTTTCAACGCCTCGCGAGTAATTGCATATTACAAAAATTTACTTTTTAAAATATATTATATGATCGTTTTAATAAAAATACCTCTACGAAAATACTCCGTTTGCTTAAGTTCGACATTTTCAAGCTTATTGAAAAATATTTTTAGAAAAAAAATTTCCTCGTATTTACGATTATTTGTTTATTAATTGATTATCATGAGATTCAATTTTTTATATTCACATTGGTTTCACCAAAAATATTTACGATATTTATATTTCTTATATATATATATATATATATATATATATATATATTATTAACACTGCTTTAAATTTATTTTACAATATATCAAATGATGAATTGATAAATGTTCAAATGCTGTTTATGCGCTTATTTATATTTCGTGCCAAATTATGAATTTGGAATTACGTAGAGGCAGTCTGACTATTCCATGATACCGTCGATCTCTTTTTCCAACTTCATAAGCCGTTCGAAGGAAATAAGCTTAAGAAGATGATTTAAGAATTGCTAAACGCATTGATCATTTATATATCTTATACGAAGAACGTTTATTGTCGAAATTCATATCGTGTATACGTTATTTGACTTTTTATACACCAGATTTGCTTCAAAAACTCGCGGACATGGGACAACCAATGGATAGAATAGAATTTTTGCGCAGAATCGAAAATTCAACAGGAGATAATATTAATGAGATATATATTACAAAATGAATAGTTTTTATTTGTGTCGTAATAATTATTAACAATACAATTACTTACTTTTAGTTTATTTCTAATAACGAGGTGGGAGTGAAAGGCGGTTGTTGTTGTTGTTGTTGTTGTTTTTTTTTTTTTTTTTCATATACTTTTTCTACATGTGTTTATCATATAAATGACATAACCTCGTTATCTGTTTGTCAATATTTTATAGAATATTCAAGGAACAATCATCATTAAAATTAGTATTGTAAGCTATTCTCAGTATAAAGAATCGACGTTACCAGATAATTGTTTTATATTCAGTTGTTTGTAGTTAATTTAAATGTCGTATGAAAAATTTGTAAATACCATACAGGTAGAAAATTGAGAAATATATTAAAATAACGACGGTCAGATTCACACGAAATTCAAAATTAAATAATTGAATTACTATTACAATAAATGATTTAAATCTTATTAAATTAATACGTGAAATAATACATAAATATATCATATAAATTAAGTACAAAAAGAGGATAAAAAATGGCTCAGTCTAGATTAGAAAAAATAGGCACAATATACACAAGGTAAGATAAATTTTAATTCAATACATATTGCTAATAATATAAATCTTAATCTTTTCGAAATTTTTATTTTAAGTAATCAGTACTTTTAGTCATTTATTTCATTTTAAGGATGAAAATATTGCTGGATAATGGTGCCGTGCCATTAAACGAAAGACCGATATGGATGGATGTATACGAAGCTTTCCCACCAAAGTACGAACCACGTTATGACAGACCAGTCCTAAAGGATACCATAAAACCGATATTTTATAAAGAAGACAAAATCAGAGCGTAAGATTTACAATAAACAACAATACGTTACAAAGTTTCGATTCATTTGCATTACCGTTAATATTGTTTTACAATATGTGACTGAAATATTAATACGACTAGTATTGTAATAAAGTATTAATTAAAAATGGAATAAATTAAATTACAAGACAGTAAACATTAATATATACATGTATATTATAAAACTATATATTAATGGAGGAAAAAATAATCGAAAATAATGTTTTAAATATGTTTGATAATAGCTGTAATTTTTTATTGTTAATTGTTGAAAGTAGTTTTGGTAAATAGTAGTTTGCTTCTTATAATTTAGTTTTCTCAGAAAGTCTGAAATTAATGAAAAAAATTAATCATAAGCACTATTCGGTTTTCATCCGACTCAAGTATTCAAAATTATTTCAATTAATTTTTTTTTCCATCGTATATCATAATTATATTTGCAGGAGATTTCATCAGGATTATGCTAATTTTTTGCAATTTAATATGATTAGCAATGAAGAGCCAAAGTCGCGATTGTTCTTTGAAATTTATAAAGAGTTAGAAAAGGTATATTAAAGGTCATAATAGAGTTTAAATAACGTACCAATGAATACAATATTAATTTTGGTTGCATTTGTAGGATGGTATTCCTGAAAATGATTTATACGACAAGGCAGTTAAACAATTTTTTGAGCGTTGCCAATTAGATAGAACGTCTGATTTATTAATTATGAATACTCAGAAGAAAAATTTGTATGCGGCTAAACCCGATGAATCGATAAATAGAGATACTTTGTCATCAAAAGAGGATGTCAATATAGCATCAAAACGTGATACAGTATTATTAAAAAAAGATGATGTTGTATATAAGCCAATTAGATTAAATATAAAAGCATTGCTCGAAAACAATGAAATTAATAATAAACTTGAAGATACCGAGAATACTAATAGCAAACCTGAAGAAAAACAAAATAGTGATATGAAATGTGATTAAATATTACCTTATATAGTCTTAGCTTTAAATAAGTTGTAATAAAATAATTCTAAATTGATATATAATTATAATTTTTTTTTCTTTATTTCAATGAATTATGACTTATAATGATAATTAACACTTACGCTTCCTATGCGATAATTAAGATATAAAAATAAAGCCAACCAATTGGTAGGTTGTTTTGTTTTTTTTTTCTTTTTTCTTGAAATATAATAATTTATCAGTTTGTAATTTTTTGAATCTATTAGTATATTTGAAACTAAATACATTGACAATAATATTAATGAGTAATTAATTAAAAAATATTGAAAAATTATTCTTCTCACTCTCTCTCTCTCTCTCTCTCTCTCTCTCTCTCTCTCTCTCTCTCTCGCTCTTCACAAGTATATTTTGAAATCTAATATAAACAAAAAAAAGTATTGAAAAGGAAAGATTAATTGTTAAAATTAAATAATAGAAAGTATATAACAGTACATATTATGTATTTACTAAAATTATATGTAATAATGTATAATATATACATTAATAGAAGTTTTAAAGTGAATAAAAGAATTTTTTAATCAAAATATGCATTAAACATAAAAAGTAGATCGTATTGAAACTGTAGATTTTTTGTATAAAAAATGTTAGTTTGGATATATAGGATTGGAAATATTGATATATAGATCAAATCCAAGTTAATCAAATGCAAGCAGCAAAAGGTACAAAATATCAAAATATATCATATTTTCAGCTCAATTTTTCATTACTTTCATTCCAATACTTAAAACATATTAATTTAGTTGAATTGTCTGAGTTGTTTACTTTATGTAATGAGTTGTTTTTTTTTTTTGTTTTTGATACTAAACCAATTCATTAAAACAATACTGATACCTCAAATAATTCAGTTTGAAAGAATATCTAATGCAAAGCGAGAATTACATTTGTTACTCCTCATCGGAAGCACAAGTAAGGCGATAACTTTTGAAAGTAATCCTATGATGTACGGATATGAGATATGAGATATTTCTTATAAATTATAATGATTACGATACGACTTCGATATCGAAGTATCGACATCCACCTTTTTATTGCTTTTGTTTTTGTTTCTTTTTCTTTTTTTTTTTAATTTTCTTTCGCTAAACGTTAGACATGTCGTATTAGAAAAATATTAGACTGATGAATGATATTCAATTAAAGAAAATTTTTGAACCTTATTATAATGAATTTATGTCACATCCAATACATGGATTATAAATATTATTGACAATAATAATGAATATTCTTTCTTCGGAATGTGTATTACTAGAGTATTTACTTTGGCTTCGAATTAGATGTGACATTTTTCCTTCACAATTGCTTTCTTATAACGATACGTTAGAAGATTACGTAAATTAATGATTATAATTTCTCAGGCAGATAAAAAATTATGATCGTGCATTTGAAAGAAAGCATACGCTATACATATACTCGCACAACATTAAATGAGACAACTTTCTTCGTCTTTCTTTACAGCTTTACAGTAAGGTAACGATGGTGTCCTTGATTAGATAACGACCTTATAAGCTTTCAATGCACAAGCATTGTATCATAAAAGTATTAAATTTATCACAAATGAATGAACTGTGAACCCCATTAGAATTTCAACAGTACGTATAGATTATTATTAAATTATATAATTGAAATTAGGCAAAATAAAGCTGTTCGTTAAATGCTTGTTTGAAGTTGTTATAAAATTAGTATTAGAAATGTTAATTGGTTCAATCGGAAGTGAATTTGAAATTAAAATGCGGATGAATATTTCAATAAGAAGGGAGAAAGTACAAAATCTCGTGTAACTTCATTATTCTAACATTAATAAACTGTTATAGTATAAAATAAACAATTAAAAAAAAAAAAAAAAATCTAAAATAAATTTGTATTAAAATATCGATCTTCGTTCGATTAATCTTCATCGATTCATTTGAAATTTTTTACTCTATCGAGGTCCCTAAAATTGTATAACAATTGCAATAAAATATAATAAATTCTGTAATAATTTGAAATCGTGAGTTTATTATATAATATATAACAAAAAATATGAAAAAAAAAAAATAAGGTTCTCTATATAGAAATCATAATAATAATAATAATAATAATAACAATAACAACAACAACAAGAAGAAGAATAAGAGTTATAGTGTTTGATTTTAGATAATTCATATGAAATCACTAACAAACTGTGAGGATTACTCAAAGGCAGACAATTTTTAAATATTGAGCTTTAAAATAAATTTAATAAACATTTATTTGAATACGCGATAACGTAAACAATGGCAATTAGAATAAGTTAATAAATAAAGTTCTAATATACAAGTTTTATCTTACTCGTAAGGTATTTAAAAATAGATAGTTAAGTCAACATAATTAAATAACAATTAACAATAGATCTCAATGCATCAGGACTAACAGAACTCAAATATTAAATACATTTATTAATGAATTAATGGACACAGTGAATAGTAAAAATTAGAAAAATTAAAAATATCTAAAGTTATAATTAAAATTACCATAATTATTATTGATTGTTATTGAATTCCATATGCAATTATTATTATTGAATTTGTAAATTATTATTGATATACTTAGGTTCTCAACGTAATATAATCTTTAATCGAAAAGTTTCAGAATTTAAATAATTTTCTATTATTAATTAGTGCATTATTTATAAATAATTAAAATGATAGATTTTATTAATTACAGAACTGAAATAATACTGTTCCAATTACAAATTGCATTTGTAAAAAAAGAATAAATTATTTCTCAACATTTAGACATTATAAGGCACTAATAAATTTTTAATCGATTATTCTAGTTAATAAAACTTTATTCGATTAAATGTTGTATTCTTTCTTTTTGTTAAATAATGATGAAATTTTTTTAATATTGTTGCTAATGATCTTTCGTAATAATCGTTCAAATCTGAAAAGGCTTTCAAATTTTCTTATTTATGCGACATTAGATATTTAATTATAGCTATAAAATTTGTGAATTATGATTTATCAGAATTTATTGTTTCATGAAAACTTTTTGTTTTTTTTTTGTTCTTTTTTTGTTTTTTTTTTTTGCATTTTTCTTTCCATTTTCCGTAATACATAATTCTGTAATAAATATGATTTTTAATATTTTTTAGAGTCCATCGATAAATTATATGGAATGGGATTATTTGTTTCAGAATTAAAAAAAAAAATTTCGTTTAATTTTTATAATTATCCATTATCGTAAAAATATTATAAATGACGTTTAATTCGTATTTCCTAAAATATTATATTTTTATTTTAGATAGATTATAGATTCTATTCTATTTCGTATATTATTTATAAATTTTTGACAATAATCAAAGCCTGAAATTTTATCAGTAATATTATCTTATCGACGTTTCTTCATAATTATGATTTTTATTACATATAATTAGATTGTAATTATGTAATATCTATACTTTGTAGTGGATCACGTTAATTATTAATGCAATTTAGTGAGTCAATAAATAATCAATATATACAGTAAATATAAAACTGCATCGCTTATTTTGGCTTTTGGAATATAAATTTCTGTCTTCGCTTGCGGCTATTTTACGGTACACAAAACATTTCATATATTTAAACGCAATTAAGTGTTTATAATTTTGTTACTTCTACTTTTAAGAAAATAATGACAATATATATATATATATATATATATATATATATATATATATGAAGTAGTATCGATAAATAGTAGGCTTTATTTCTATTTTTCATAATTAATTATTACTAACTGTTAACTTCTTCATGAAAAAGAGAATAACGTAAAGGTTAAATTCAATGTAGATTTATGTATAGGTTATATTCTGACAGATATTTTTATTTGTTTACTGCACATACAGCAAATTTGTTTTATGTTTTGATGGTTATATTATTAAAAGTATCTAAGTTTAATGAAAAAATGAAGTAGTAGAATATATCAAAATAACATTTAAATTTGATTTTGTTAAATTAACTACAAGTTAATCGATTTTTATTGATCACAATGACATCTTCGTCAAATTTTACGACTGAAACAGCAAAAGGTAATTAACGAATAAATATAATTGTTGTGTATAATTCATTATATCAATTACAGTTGCATTGGCGGATGTTTTAACTGCCTTAGAAGCTCCTGAAAATGTACAAAAACTTGCTACTGCTAAAGAAAATTCTGGCAACGAAGTACTGAAAACAATGCAATTTGTTTTCCCAGCCGTAATGCAAATACAAAATGAAGTTATAAAAAAATATGGTTTTTCTGAGGGGAGGGAAGGTATTTTTTATTTCTCAAATTAAAAGATATTGTTTTATAAAAATTTTTTTCAACATATATTTTTATATTATTTACTATTATTGTATTTACATTATTAGATTGTGAATTCAATCTTTTTATATTTTAGATTTTTCATAATATAATTCAAGCAAAGGCATAAAACATATAAACTCTATAAAATAATATATTTTCAGGCGCTGTACAATTTGCACAGCTGATTAGGTCTTTAGAAAAAGAAGATATCGAAGTAGCAAAATTACATGCACAAGTGCGCTCTTATTTTCTTCCAAGTACACCGGTTAATTCTTCGACCGATACATCTATGTAAAGTTAATTATATGCTTTCACATTATATGGAAGAATTTGACTTTTAATATAATTTTTTTATTTCATTCAAATAATTGACAATGTGAATAAAAATTCAATAGATTAATGAATTTATACATCTCAAGAGTTCAGTTTTAATTGTCAATAGGAATTCTATAGCTATAGCTATATATACTAATAAGTACTAATTATTAAACTTTAAAATTGCAGATATATTAGTAGAGATTGTAAAGTATAAATTAATTATACGTAGAGGTAGATGTAAAGAAAAACATAAATATAAGTGTAGAATAAAATAAATCAAATCCATATATTGGATAAATATTGAATGCTATACTTTTTAAATATAATTTGAAACTTAAAATGAAGATTATTTTTATAATTATAAGCAAGTAATTGCAAAGGATAAGACTTAAAAATTGACATAATATCAATAGCATTTAAAATAAATTTTTTTTTTTTTTTTTTTTTTTTAACGCAATTATATTTATATTTAAATGAAATGAGAATTAAAAGAAATATATTCAATTTATTTATTTAGACACTATGTGGAATTTTTATTTAAAAAATCGAATTAGCAATGGTTTCACAGCAAAAATCCTGTTTTTGGATATAATTATCTTATTTGACTTTCATATTGAAAATAAAAAATTCAAAATATCACTTCAAAATTAATATACAAGTATTTTAATTCAGAATTTTTTAAATTAACTTCTATTCTAAGAATGAATTCAATGTTAAATAACTCATAGTATGGCAACCATTTATAATTGAAAAACGTATTTTGTCTACTATTTGCAAATTAATAATTGACATTGTTTTCTAATGTAAGCTTATTATAGTTCTTATTTTATAAAAGATTATAAAACGTATTTTAATTATCATATCAATGTTTATTATTGAGCAAGGGCTTATATTAGAATTTCATACATATTTAATATAGTTGTATTTGCTTTTGTACTATTTATAAACATTTTTACAATTCACGTTTGCATTTTTGTTAATTATTTTATGAACTTGTTAACTTAATTTATAATTATATATGTTCATAAAAAATTTTATTATGTTTTAGTATTACAAAATTTTAAACAAAATATCTTTATCTTTTAAGTATAAAAGTAATTTACAATTATTACCAATACAAATGATCATTCATAGCGTAACTTTGGTGAATTTCAAATTAATGTTTTAGAAAACAATATATATATATATATATATATATATATATATTAAATGTAAATACATGTATGTTGTACTTAGAAAAATGTATACATCACTTAAGTCGTGCCGACTCAATTATGGCAGTAATTTTTTCACCATTGAATAATTTTTAATAATTTAATATTTGTATGAAAAATATATAAAAATATTATTTGATGTAATTGCTAAGCACTACAGTTAAGTTTACTTAAGTTTAAGTTTTTATAATTTTATAGAATACACAGTATCCATTAGATTTTCTTTTTTCTGCTCTTTGCAATGCATGTATGTTTTAATTTCAAATAAAATAAACTTTGTATTGAAAAAGAATGTTATATTATTTTTCTAAAATAAAACAAACTTAAGCGCTATGATTACTATTAAAGGATTTAGCCAGTTTAAGCAATGGAACATATAAATTTGATTTTATTTGATATAAATTTGAATTACATAAGATAGTTATTAACTCATTTTTTTTAAGCTTTTTTAAATATAAATATAAATATAAATATTTAAATGAGGATAAAAGAAAAATTAAATACTTATTATAGCAATAGATTTAAATTTTTTTTTTTTACATTTAATATTAGTAATATCATATTTCATAGCAGTAGTCATAATAATAATAATAATAATAATAATAATAATAGTAGTAGTAGTAGTAGTAGTAGTAGTAAATATACGTGTGTATGACGTATGATTAACTAAAGTTTATAATTTATTATTTTCTTTAAACCAAAAAGCAATTATAATATATTTTCTATCTATTACTAAGAATAATGGAAAGTATAATTAGCAGAGCATAAAGAGTCATCGCTTTATATCAGAAATATATCATGTAAAAATAAAACCGAACCAAAGATTTAATTTAACAATGATTTTTAAAAAAAATAACTTACTTTCGTTTCTTTAAAGAACAATTAGTTATTAAAACATTTTGATTTTGTAATATCAAATAAATTGTTATAATAATAAAAATTTTATCGAAAGTAGAAGTATGAAGTATGTTTGTTATAAATATTCTACTATATAAAAAAACCCATTGCAAATGGGTTTGAGACAATAGTTGTCTTATAGCACCTATTTTTTAATTTTTCTATGCTCATTGAAAACGGATGGAAAATTAATAAACAAAACAAAAAAAAAAAAAAAAAAAAAACAAAATTTTCAAAGTGCTTGTTGTTGTTTTTGTAATACAGTAAAAAATATACAGGCAATTATGTTCTTACCAATTATTTAAGGCTAAAGAACTACTATAAAATTTATTTAAATGCTTCTTTCCTTCAATGCATTCTTTCACTCGTCGTGAACTTTTATAAAAATATATATATATGAACGTATGCTTCAAATTCTGTTTCCTTTTGAAAATCAATTTTTTTCAGTCGTATCTCATTATAATTCCAATAAACACATTCGTTTATTTTAAAAGATATTGAACATATGCTAAATATTTATATTCCAATGCAATAAATATAAGTTTTATGTATTATATTAATTTTAATACAGAGTTAATTTTTTCCTTCGTGCGATTAAAGTAAATTTTAGAAATTAAAGCTGGGTTAATTCGAATGAATTGCCTGATAAAAATTATGTACTTTATAATTTTTGAAAATTAATACTACATTCATTCGCTAACTAATGCGTAATTAATTACTTTACCCTGATATTAATGAAGTTGATAAAATAACGAAGGCACTCCTATCTATACTTACAGAGTTTAAATCAACTGGGTTAAATATATCCTTCATGTTGGCACCAATAAAGATGTTCTCTACACAAATAAAAGGATAAAGGATATTTCTAGTGTACATCCACTAGAAATATGTTATATTTGATTTTAAATATAATAAAGTCAAGGCAAGTTTCATTGATCATATTTTTGTATTAGAGAATGTTATGACTAATAATAAAGCAATAAGAGATGATAAATAATGTGTATATGTTACCCCATATTTGTTGCTTATATGTATAAAAATTAAATTCCGATAAAACAGTGTAGTAGTTATTTAAAAATTTGGGTAATCCTTAATTTAGAGAATAAATAATAGAGTAACAAATTATGATTAAACATGTCAAACAAGTTCGCTTATCACTTTCAATTCAATCTGTTTGAGAGAATATTATCATTAAACATTCACTATTATTAAAAGGCTAATGAAAAGATTATCTTATAATCTTCGCGAGTTTATAGGGAAGCCAAGTATTTGTAGAAAAATAAAATAAGTAATTTTTAGTCTATTATTTATGAGTATTTAAAATTTGGTTTTAAAGTAAAGGAACAATATTTGTTTGAAAAGACGTAGCTTTTAGATCAATTGGAATTTATAATACGAATATGTAAATAAATGTAATTTAAAACATATAGAGTAGATCAGATGGTTTAAATAAATATCTTACAGTTAATCTTTAATTTGATGAACTACGCATCTGTTAGAAGACATTCAAAAACTATTATTTTAGCAATAAAGTAACTATTATAGATAAAAGATAATAAGAAAAGGAAAATGCGCGAGTTCGTTTAAAGTTATTAACATATCATCATTTATAATATTGATACAATCGTAAATGTTAATTTACGATAATTTTTGCTGAAATTTATAGCTCCATACATTATAAAAAGATAGATTATATATGTGATAGATTACAGTCATTACGGTACGGATAATTTTCAAATGATTCATCTTCCGTATGAAAAGTAGTACCTAACTGCATTAGCGGGTATACGGACAATCGATCTAAATCACATGACTAATACAAGAAGTTGACGTGTCTAAAGATTTTGGGAAAAATTATTTTCAACTAGATGTTAACATAAGCGAAGATATACTTTACATGCATAAATAAAGAATGAGTAAAATTAATTCGGCACTATACATAAATGGTATAGAGTTGTAATTCTCTTGTTCATATTCTGATAAGGGGTTAATTAGTATTGGGATGATCGAACTGTAAGCATAAACGTGTACAGTTTGGGATGATTCAGAGATATAATTTTCGGTTATGCAACCAGTTGAAAATGGGATATTGGCATTGATTTTAGTTTCAAAAGCTATTGATAAGGCATTGACAAGAAATGATAGATATGAAAACAACGGTTTATATATTAGTAGATTGACAAGAGGCAATTGATACATGCATCAAGCATTTTATAAACTAACGCTCGGTTTATATTAATAAAATTCGTTTTCACGATTATCGTATTTATAATTTTCGTAATATCAAATAACAACAAGTAACTGTAATTTGATATCTTGGATTAAAAGCATAAGTAGTTCATTCAAATCAATTACCCAGATTTTAAAATGACTAATTTATATTATGTCAGCTATAAATTTCATATTTGTTTAATATTAAAACAATTACATAAAAGTTCTTTAACTTTTTATGCACGATATAGTTACTAACTAATTTATAAAAAAAAAAAAAAGAAAAAAGAAAAAAGAAGCAGTTTCAAATATAATATGTTTAAGAGCGCTTCCACGATGTTCCTTTAATTACTTTATACATAAAGGTAATAATATTTAATAATAGAATAAAATATAATAATAATTTATATGATAAAAATTAGTAAATAAAGGACGTTTCATCATTATTATTTACATTTTTCGTCAAATGCTGTGTTGTGACCTGTAAAGTTAATAGTTAATCAGAACGAGTACACAATAGACTGACAAATTTAATTTTTAAATCTCGTGTCTTGGCAGATGTCAATGTCATTTTGATATAAGAAAAAATACAATTCTATTCAAAGTTTTCACTATTGTCTCTAAAAATGACCCATCACCAATATTTTAAAACAATATTACATTATTGCACCGTGGACAAAGGAAAACACGTTTCCTACACATTAAATAAAAGTAAAAATATGACCATGTCGTTCCAACTTTTAATTAATATCAAATCAAATATTTATAGGCTGCTCTTTCTGTCATTTTACTAAAAAAAATCATGTACATACGTATTGAAAAAAAAAAAAAAAAAATATATATATATCTTGCTTCTGGGATGGAGTCTATCTTTAAGGCTGAGTTAAAGAAACCACGAAAATTTCTAAAGCTCACTTATCAAAGAGTCTTTATATATTCACTTGAAAACGGAATCTTGTTTAATATAATAAAGTAGAGCGCACGCTTTCACATGCCTTCATTTCTATCTTTTATTACCAAACATGAAATGCATCTCTTTACATCTGTCTTTATCATTATCATTTCATTATTGATTCCATTCTCTTTTAATGATAGGATATTATACATATATACACATACACGTGCATATCCTCATTTATACATATGTACATGCATGCATATACATGTGTATGCATATATACATTTAATAATATTTAATAATATTTAATAATATTTAATAATATTTAATAATAATAATAATAATAATAATAATAATAGCTCTACAAAAAGAAAGTATCTCCTCAATATCCGGCGTTCTTTACTTCTTTACTCTGATACTCGAAAAATATGCTATACATATATGAAAAAGGATGAAGTATAAAATCTATTTTTCATCATACGGATCTCAAAACGTTCGAAGATAAAATACAAATTGATTTTCAATTTCTCACGCGCTTTTCAACTCTTTCGTAATCTCTCGGTTTTTTGTTTCTCCACGTTTACGTGGGTGGGTGTGTGTGTGTGTGTGTGTGTGTGTGTGTGCGCGCGCGCGTGTGTGCGAGCGTTTACGTGTGTTCTAATGTATGTTTTCATAATCTTTTAATTTCAGAGATTGCAGAACAGCGATAATTCTCTTGTACTCCAACTTGTACACAACGTACTTGCAACAAAGCCTTTTGACTCGATAATTGTTTATACCGCACAGGGCTTCGTTTTCGAAAAAGTTTTGTTATCTTATGCGCGTATTATTTAGCTGTTATCAAGCGTGCGATGCATCGTCGTACTCCTCTGCGCGGGAAGTGACGGCACGGATGTTGCGATGCTCATTGGCAATCGGCTACGAAAGGAATGGATTCGCCGTGGCCGCCGTTGTCGGTGTCGAGGTCGCATTTGCGTTCGTACTGCTCCAGGGATCCAGTCGAATCTGATTAATCGAAGGACGTGGAGGAGGCGTCACCGGTGCGAATGGATTTGCCGAATACGGTATGGGTGCTGCAAGTATTTACAATTGTTAGCAAGCTTTCATAAGAATTTCATAACAATTTTTATATGGACAATTTAGGCTGCAGACGAATGTTCTATGTTACATAAAATTCCTCGAGCCGTTTATATTAGCACTGCGTAAGACAAAGATGAAGAGTTATGTAATTAGTTATTACTATTGGCAATTGTGCTTTATATTCTGCTAAAAATATGCATACAATATCGAATGCTTAAGTGAACGTGTCATTTTTACAAAGATTATAAAATTCTTTTGCTTTCATGCTTTCAAATCTTTTAATACCACTGTAATTTCAAAATATTAACAAGGAATTTTATGTTTTCGTTTTATTCAATGTAATAATTTGACAGACCAAGAACAGATTAAATTTTCAAATATATGAAAAATATGACGTTTAGGAAGGAGACTTCAACTAAAGTTTCATATCTCTTAAAGACATTTATATTCAATTTTTAATTATATTAATAAACAATTGCACAAATATAATATGTAGTAATCGCTTATTTTTAAATATTTTGTTAATACACTTTTTAAGCTAATACGCAAAATATAGAATTATTACAAATGAATTACTATTGTTTGCAATTCGTTTTGCCAGCTTTTAATTGTCGAAACTATGAAAAATGTTGACACATTGTACATATACACAGTTGGAAAGAATTTAACAATAGATTATTATTAACCAAATTAACTATCAATTAAGCAATAACATATTTTATTAAATATTATATTTTGCAATCTACTGTTTGGCAATATTTTATAATCCTTTCTTTCATTTTCAAGTGCTGTTAATTTAATTATTTTAAATGATGTTTTTACAATAATGTTTGTTTGTATTAAATAATTTTCATATAACTTTTTCAATGAAAGCAACGGCATTATTGTTATCATTTAGCAATCAATATTTTAATTTTAAATTATTACTTTTTGGTGTTTTACTTTTTGCATTATTCATAAAAATAAATTAAATTCATACAATTCATTATCTAAACATTTAATTTAATTTAATGGCATATATATAATGCTAGTGCTTTTTAGTTTTATTATTTCTTAGCAACTATATACTATAAACAATATACTATAAACATAAAGCATAATTTGATTTCTACGTTTGTTCTGTACTTTAGTGTTTTAAAGTCTATTTCAGAATCGTTTTCCCTACTGTAGATTGTATAAGATTTCTGGTCGGTTACATGATATCACTATATCTTCTATTTATAATTACCTATTTCTTTCTAAAAATTACCATATTTTATATTTGATGAATATTTTATTATTTATCGATAAAAATTCTATTATTATTATTATTATTATATTTTAAAAGTAATAAAACTAATAATCTATTTATTAATTTGGGTATATTCATCAAAGAATATGACTAGTAAACTATTATATCGTATAATTTTATTTGAATTAATCAATAAATTATTTCCAATTGTGTAATAACATATACTACTTTTACATTTACATTTACATACAGACAACGAATATAAATAAAAAATAAAAAAGAGTAGTTTTAATAAAAGTAAAAGGAAATTTCTAAAGAATAAAATTAATTTCAGATATATAATTTTTAAAAGAAATTCTACTTTAACATTGGTTTCGTCATGCCACCATGCATTACTATTCACTGTCTTTTAATGTTTTTTTTTTTTTTTTGTTTGTTTTTTGTTATACTTACAAAAATTACTTCCAATGAAATGCTGCTACACAGGCATAGAGTAAACGTTAAAAGATTTTTAATTTGGTTTTAAATTACTGCCAATTATATTATAATTTTTTCTGAATTAATTTCAAATACATTTGTACAAATTTATATATTGTTTAAATTAATATAATTAAATAAGAATGAAACGTGACGATTACCCGCTGGTGTTGGTGCTGGAGTTTTTATCGACGATGCGCTTACGAGATTATCGAGATTTACGAGAGCCGAATTTTCACCCAGAAATGATTGCGGAGTCTTTTTCACTGCACCTGTGCTAGGCGGCATAGTGTCCACGAGGCCTCGTAAATCAAACGGATCCGGTGAAGTTGTATTACCTGATTATTAAATATTATTTCAGGATTATCATTTCTCTTTTAGTTACAATGAAAAATATTTATTTTACTGCTAATAATTATTTTAAAGCATAAAAGTACTTATTATTATTATTATTAATTTTTTAATATAATTGAATATCTCATTCAGTCATATTTGATTTAAATTTTTAATATCATTATTTTCTCTAGAACACTTATTTATTATAAAAAGAAAATTGTACAGCAAAGAAATAAATGTATTAATAGTTGAAAATTTCCTTCGATAAAGTTGATTATTACTGTAAATGCCTGTGTTGAATATATAATTTTATGCAATTTTAGATGCTTTTTTAATAGTATAATGAATTTTTTTTCTTCAAAAAATATATTAATACTTTTGTACATACTGTTTAAGAATTAAGTAAGTACTTATTTAACATCACTTCTCCATTTTTACTTTAAATGTTATATTTTTATTAAAAAAAAAAAAAAAAAAAAAAAAAAAAAAAAAAAATTAAATAAACCCCGTATGTTTATTTCAATTATTTACAAAAGCATATTTTCTAAATTATAATTACCATTATTTATTGGTTGTGGGCTAGAACCAATTTTATTTCTATTGCTAATAACGTCAAATTCATCGAGGTCGCCAAGTGGACTATTATTTTCTTGATTCGAAGATGTGGAATTAAAAGTCGATCCTAAGCCATTAAATCCATTACTATTCGAACTAAAATTGGCAGTTGATGACGATATATTAAATCCAATAGGTGCCAGCTATAATAAAAGAAAAAATAACATTTCAATTTTCGAGCAATTACAATACTTATTATTATATCTTAAAAACATATTGATTGAAAGGAGTAGTGAGTAAAATTTCGGAATAATGTCAATTATATAGAATTCAATGATTACTTTCGTATCTGCAGTTGTTGAAACAGGAGCCCAAGGATCCAGTACGCGGGGTGGTACTGGTACTGGAGTCACTGTTGCCGGGGATGGTGCAGGAGCTCGCCAAGGATCGACGGTAGCAGCTAAAAATAAGTATATTATTTACTTATTTAAGATTATTCTACGACATTCATTGATATTACATTTTTAGAAATGTTGGAAATTAATTTTATGAAAAAATTATATGTACTCGTTTAAAAATTATGCACATGAATTGATGTAATTCGATAAAAGACGTTATATAATATGATGTACAAGCAAGAGAACAGATGTACTCATAATATTTATTTCATTTATTTTATCCTACGATTTATCAAAATATATACCGAAAGTTGGTTGGTAAATTAAAAAAAGAAATTGTTATTTATAGGGCTTTTTACGCATTAAATAGAATAATTACGTAACGCCTTCTTTTATAACGCATACGAGAATGTAAATAGTTAAATGAAACTCGAGCAATAAATTTTATAATTATTCTGCATTAAAATCTGCATTATAATTTATTGAGTGAGTTAAAAAAAGTTAGCCTATTATTAATATAGGATTATGCATTTACCTGGAGATCCTGTTAGCCAGAATTAAGAAAGTGTCGTAATCATGCAAAAAGTACAAAAAAGATGTTAATTTGAAGCTGATGTTAAAATTAATGTGATTACGAGAAAGTAAAATATATTTTTAACTTATTGGAAATGTACTTACTCGGTCGTTGTGGTAAAACTGGAGCCCAAGGATCAAGCGCTGATCCGGTAGTGCCATTGTTTGTTGCTGGAGCAGACCATGGATCATTTTGTGTCTAAAAATTATATTTGCTTAATGTATTAATGAAGTAAAAGATCCTTAGATATAATGAAATGAACATTAAATGAAAGAAAATATAAATTACATTTATTTAGTATATGTGGGCTTCGATAGATAAATGGATGGGGATAATAGATTTCATAAATCGATTTTAATAAGTAAAATAAAATAATATCTTTTACATTCTCATTATCTCTCCAGGTCTCGGAACTTTGAACAATCATAATATTTTAATAAATTAAATTATAAATTATATAAATATATAATGTTTTTCTATCTTATAATTTACATAAAACAAATCATTTTAATAATCAAATATGATATTTAGTTGTTTTTTTTCTTTACAAAATTGTTGTTTTTTACACCAAAATTTTTCATTCTTTCATTCTTTCAAAAGGTGAGTATTGTAAAAACCGATGAATGTAGATTAAATTCTCGATTAAGTCATTAATTTTTTTATCGATATTGAAATTGTAATTAATTTAACTTCTTTACAGAATAATTTACATAACTTGATTTAGCATAACATCAGAAATTTAAAAAAAATCTAGAAGTAGTATGTAAATATGGTATTAATGTGTGTAATATTTTGTAATAATAAATGAGAGATCTAAATTTGAAATATGATAAATAATGAACCACCTTTTGTTTATGACAACATTGTCTAAAAATGTTTTTCTTCTAATTATTACAGAATATGATTTTATAAATTACGAAAAATAATGAGCTACAATAACACTAATAATTTACGTAACAAACTTTTATTTATTTATTTATTTATTTATTTTATTTTTATTTTTTTGCACCAACATACCTTGTAAATATTAAATAGCGAAAGATCCAGAGACTGCCGTGCAAACATGCAAAATGAACGTTTCATGCACTGTCAATTATTTTATATTCATTTAAAAATGCAATTTACATTACAAGTCGTGTACCTGAGGTCTTGGAGGTGGAGGCGTTGGTATCGGTACTCCCCAAGGATCAAGTTGAGCATTCGTGCCACTGGCCTCCCCCAAATTCACATCGAGTAGATCGAGCATGTGACTTTGTTTCTCCTGAGGTGTTCTATTATAAAATCAATATATTTTTATGCGACTTGTAGTCAATGATATATCGTTATATATTTTTAACAAAGTAATGTAAAATTTCGATGCAATATAGCGAGTATAATGACATTAACGGCAATGTATTTGCATTTCTTAAATGTGATTAATGACTTGACTTCAATGGCATTAGCTTTATCTAGTTACGTAAAAGTATTGTCAATGTAAATACAATAGTAATATTGACGTTTTACGAGCAATAATACATCGTCTGTTCTATTTAAGCAAACAAGAAGTGCCGTTCAAATTTTTTTTAATTATAAAGAAAAATGTTGAAAATTATGTTTACTAACTTAAAGTCTTGTTGACTTTGGCTAAGTGCCAATTGCAGCCTAACATCATCGCTGCGCCTTCTTTGCTCTTCCTGTTCAGCTTCTTCCCTCGACATTGCTAAGGCGAGTTGCAGTTGAAGTTCTTCTTCTCCCACTGTTTGAGGCCTGGCAGCCTCCAATTCGGCTGAAAAACAAAAAATGGGTAACGTAATGAACTATTACTGCTTCTAATTAATACTGTACGAGCATGCCAAAATTAAAATTTATATCGTCTGTAAGTCAAGAATAATTAAATTGCAATCTATTGATAATCATTGCTGATATTCAAATAATATCACATCGCGATGAGCTATTAAGAGATATGGCGAAGAAATTTCTTGACTTTGGAGATATAACATAAAGTTAATGAAAAGCAGTAAAGAGATTCTTACGTCTTGATGAAGATTCCGACAGATGACATGGTTCCCATTCTTGAAACTACAGGTATAATTTAATATTTAGACTTTCATAGATAATTTACTAATGAATAGCGATTAATTGATTACGAATGTGTAAACTTACGTCGCTGCTAACTGGTGAAACGGTATCAATCCCATCACTACCAAAACCGCTGAGAGACTGTGCAAATCTTTCTTTAGCTTTAAGTGCTCTTGCTCTTTCGTTTCTTAATCTTTCATCGTCCCTTAATAAGGCCACCAATTGCTTAGCTTTTTCTCTTACATTTATCCCTTGATCTTTATGTCCCTCCATGTATTGAAAATCTGTAAAGTTTTTCGGTAAAAATAAGCTTGAAATGCCATTTTAGAGGGATAAATGATCATTTTAACAATAAAGCAGGATCAATTATTTATGTAGATAGAAAATTAATATTATATTAAGATACGTAGTATGAAGAACTAATGGCTAATGAATGATACACGCACGCACGCACATATTTGTAAAATCTTACATATAAACAGCAATTTATGAATCTTCTATAAATGAAATTGGTGGCTTCAATTATTAATTAAACGTGAGATAATTTCGACTAAATAAAAATAGTGAAATTTCACTTATATTAAATTTTAATAAATATTACATTCACCTTTAAATTTTTAATTAGTTTTCAATTACCATCAGTAATAAATATGTTACAATATAACTATTAATAAAATATCAAATATGTATATTTACTATGGATTAAGTTTATGTACAGTAATGTATTCCAATAATTAATCATTCAAGAATTATTAAAAAGAAAGAAATGTTTTTTTAAATCTTCACTACCGAATAAATTGTATTTTATAATGTGCTATCATATAAATATTTAAAATACTTGAAACTTTTTTTTTTTTTTTTTGCATTAAAGACTATATATTAAGAACATTTCAAAGCAGTTTACTTAATTTTTGCTTCGTACATTTGCTTAAAAGATTAAAAAGTCTTTAACAGAGAAATGAATTTATATTTAGAATCTAATGAAAACATTTTTGTTAATAATATTAATATTATACGTACATATGGTTTCACCATTTTTCTCATAATATTTAAACAATTAAAATGTTTTACTAATAACAGATTATTCGGATAAATTTTTCTATTACGTTTATTTCATTTTAATGTTATTTTAATTTCACGTTGTTACAATTTCACATAATAATAGCATAAGTACTTGTAATGCTCAATAATAAAATTCAGCGAACGTAGGAAATATGTCGCTCTAAGAAAGCTTATAAAATCATTAATAAACCCGAGAGCAGTGGCAATAGAGGTGTGCGAATGTTGGGAACAAAATTTGACTCCCGTGCACTTTGAAAGCACAGTTTTTAAATTAAGGCAGAGTGAGCTGCATAATATAAAGGATATAAAGTACTCAAAAAGGCGAAAGAGTAAAGTAAAGGAAGTAGAGTAGGGGAGACGGGGTCACGGAGCCACACCTAAAGGAGTCGGGAGACGGGGCGCACCTTTGAGTGTCTGAATGGCGTAGATGTTCTCCTTGCATTGTTGGGCGACCTTCTCAGTGCCGGTCTTGATGAGGTACTCCAGGAGCACAAGGGCCTTATACACGTGTCGCCAGTTCTTGCCATGGTCGTTGAGACGCTTCCATAGCATCTGCATGATCTCCGTGAAAGCGACGACGTTGTAGGTGAGGTCGGCAATTTCTCCCATGAGAGTGCTACTCGGGCCCCAAGGATCGTTGCTCGTTGCCTTGCGCACTGCTTTCTACAAGTTGATTTGTAACAATTAGCCTCGTCGAATAATATGTCTGCCGAGTACGTTATTATTCGTATTAAACAGAAAAAAAAACAAAAAACAAAACAAAAAAACATGTTTTTTTTTATCGCCGACGAAGAAGGAAGTGTACATTGACAGACACTTTAGCTAATAGTGACACTTAAAATATATTGTCAAGTGGTTTTTAGCCGATAATAAATGAAGTAGAAATACGAATTGGAAGTTTATCTATGTTAATGGACAAAACTAATAATAATTAATCGATGTACACGATATTACAATTGTACAACATATGAATTGGCTTTTAAATGCAAGTGATTCGGTAATATTCATTGTTAAATTAATATTTCCACACTGGATATATATAAAGCAATTTTAATACTTGAAGTTATTTTGTAAATAAAAATAAATAATTAAAATCCTTTCTTTATTGGAAATGTATGAAAAAATATATAATTATAAAACGCAAAGTAGTATTTTTTTTTTTTTTTTTTTTTATTATTATAATTCTCTAAATTAGTTCTATTTTGCTGCTTAGTATTGGTAATAAATCTATCTAAAAAAAAAAATACTCTAAATAAGTGTATCGATTAAATAAATATCAAACACATATATTAATTATAAATTCGTTCACATTATGATATATTAAAGATACCACTTGTAGATAAAACTATTTCAAATCCATGAAATTCCTTTATATATTAATTTTTCTTTTCTTTTCTTTTTTTTTTTTTTATCACGAGCTGATATCTTTACTTTAATCATAATAATTTTCGCAACGAATTAAGTTCGAGTTTAAAAAATATTATGTACACGCATGAATCTTTAATCAATGTACAGTCGCATCAACGTATTATAAGAAATTCATTACTATTGTGATATATTTCTTTCTTCTCTTTGTCGCGGTACGCATGCATGGACTTTCTAAAGAAACTAAAAAAGCATAACATTTAAAAGGAAAGGAAAAGTCACTTTTATTTAACAATGGCATGTCAATTTTCATCTTTTATAGTACTTTCTATATTAAAACCAATAATAAATGTGAAAAGGCACGAGTGGGAGTTTAAATTGAGCGGTGAAAAGAGTAGCCGATTGACAATTAATGCTAAATAAAGCTTGCGCGTTCGCATTATAATATAATAAGCTCATAAGCTAATGATAAAATTTAGAAGAAGAGGGGAGGATGGGAAGAATGAGAGGTGCGAGTAGAAATTATTGCAAACGGAAAGGCAACTCGATGGTGCGTGAACATTTGCTCACCTGAGCATTGCTGTAGTTGTGGGCAAGATTGACAATGTCTCGCCTGATGCCAGCCAGGTTAACCTGCATTACATCTTGTCCTTGTCGCCGCATCTAAAACATCATTTATTACCTATTATACTTATTATACGGAGTAAATCAATTTATTAAATGAGAGTTGGAAAGTTATCATGTACATTAATATTGCACTGTACTTTTATTGTCTATACTTTCATAATTAATTATATTTTGTACAAATATATTCTTCTTTCCTCCTTGGCTCTTTATACATATTATTTAGAATATTTCCTTATTGATGCTCAACAATGGTATATATAAAATAATTACATTTAATATTATTTTCTTATTTAACACCATCGTATTCATTTGGATAATAACATTTTAATATACTAAAATACAAAATTTATACTATATTATCAGTTTTTATTAATTAATTAATATTATTTAAAAATTTATCTTTAATTTTCAATTCAGGAAATTAAATTTACCTCAGATAATTATAAGATAAAACAAAAATTTAAATTAAAAACAAGTATGTTAATAAAGGACATATTTAGCTATTCGATTATTTCATATGATTAAGTTTTATAAATAATATATCATTGTAAAATAATGAAGGAATATGAGGTTAAAATAAACTTATTCGAGTCATTCAATTAATTACTTAAAATACATAATTAATAAAAAAAAAAAACTACTAACACGACGAGTAAATAAATTATATGAAACAAAATTCAAAGATATTTTATAAATGTAGTTAGTATAAATGTAAAGTTCAATAATTAATTATGAAATTATACAGACGTATATAAGTTTTTTTTTTTTTTTTTATAAATATTACAACTTTATATCATAAATCACATATAGCAATAAATGACAAATACCGTTATACTTTATACGTTTTTTTTTTTATTACGATATTTTCAGTTTAATTTAGCTTTATAAAATATATACATTGAAAGTTCGGTATTTAAATTAAAAGTATAATTTTTTAATACGAATTTTATTTTATATGTTATACATTTCATATATATATATATATATATATATATATAAATTTACCAGTTATAAAGAAATGGATACTATAAGAGTGATCTATGAATACCGTAACAACGTAACAACAGTGCGTGAAAGAAAAAACCAAAGCAGGAAAAGAAAGTTTATCGAGGACGGAAGATCACAAATCTGGAAAGTATGAAGTGTGGAAATAAAACTCTACACAGCTAACCTGTAATAGAAGGACGTTGTTCAACTTAATTGCTAAATATAACTAATAAAAAGTTCTTTATATCGTCGTATGGACAATATTCATTAGTTTTTTTTCTCTCTTAAATTTATCGTTGTAATTATTTATAATTAAATAAATAAATAAATAAAATTACATAGATTGTCTCTTCTATTTTAGAGGCTCGATAAAAATTTACAGTTAGTTGTGGATAAATCAAGGTTACATTGAAATATGAATTAAATCACTATAATATATATTTCTAACATATACGATGTTTTACATCTGTTTTATAGATAGAAATTTATAAGAATATTTTTAAGAAGTTTATAAAATATATAGAAATAAAATATACGTATATGAAGAATAAGATATTTTGTTTCAAAGAAAAACCCTTTAAAAGTTTAGGAAATTAATCATTCTTTTCTCTTCAAATTCTTAAAAATGATTAATTAATTATATTACAATTATTTATTTAAGTACTGTTATTTATTAGATTATTCACATATAAAATTATAATAAGTAACGTTAAGAAATTTATTTTTATTATTTTTTTTTTTTTTCAATTTGTTTAATGTATGATTTGTAAAATAAATTATATTTGCAATTATTTAAAATATTTATAAAATAAAAGTCCTTTAACAATCATTTTTGTTTCTTAATGAGCGACTCATTGCTTTTCAATGCTAAACTATTTTCCACAATAACCTCTTCTTCTTTAATGTAAACTAACAAGGTCACATAAAGAAAAATCTATCGAATATAATTAATTTATATATCGACAAACATCTATGCGCTACAAATTTTATAATCTTTATGCTTTCTTTATATTGTCATCGACAAACTTTAAATCGACCAAATATTTTTCACGTATGTAAAAATTATATTTTTATGGTATTAGTAAAAAAAAGCGTTAGAGTAATTGAAATTATTATGTGTCATCATTTTCATTTAATTTAAAATTACTTAGTGTTTCTAAAAGATAACTTAGCCACGCTTTTATCCACGCATTTATAATTTAATCACAAGCGCGATACCAAAGTATTCTCATACATTCAAACGATTATTAGTGTTTAATGTATATTAAACTGGCCATAATATAATTTTGGCAGTAATTATTTATAAGAAAAATACTGATTTTAATTATTTTTATACTTTTATTTGACACTCGTTAGTGTAAATTGTTGAAAATTGACCGATGTCAGTTGGTAAATTTATGTCAGCTGACAGACAATAAAAATCAATGTATTAATATATTGAATTTTATATATTTTAATTATAATGAAAAATAAATCGAGTGATTATTTATTTTTAGAAATATTTGATATTCAATATTTAAACTATGTTGTGCACAAATTATTAATAAACAACATTTTATTAGTAAGTTACTTGTCAATTTCGACAAGTCACTTTTGTTTCTCTAAAAATATTTCTCCAATAGTATATATAAATTACACTTTGTTTATAAAAATAATTTTGATTTAACAATTCGTAACAATTATGATATTATTTATTAATTTATCATTGTACGCAATCATTCATATGATGCTGCTAATTAACATACAAGCATTTAAATAAACAAATCAAGAGTGAAGGTTGTTGCAACATTATTGGAAATATAAACATAATATCAAGTCAATAGCCATTTAAATATATCATTGTATATTGTTATAATTATATACGTGTATGCTAATCCTTAGGATATATCCTATGATATATAAAATGAATAGCTCAGTTAATTTGCGATTGTAATGTTGCGACAAGCATGTTGAAAAAATGTTTTTTTACTTACAATAAGATCACTTTTCTAAGTCATACTTTCAACAATCATTTATAAATATTGCAAAATATGAAGTAACAGCCACATAATTTTAAATATTTAAATACTTTTAATAAATAAATAAATAAATAAATTATATTTAATAAAAGCAAATCGTAGACATGAAATGGATGTTATTATTTTGAGCTTGTATATTACAATGGTACGATAGGGCAATTTACTTGGATAGAGGAAGTGTAAATGACAACTATACGCATGAACACACAGGCACGCGCACGCACGCACGCACGCACGCACGCACGCACGCACAACGTGAAATTGAGTAGATCATTCGTTGCCAATTGAGATGCATATTTGACAGACACTTTATTTATTAATACCTTAGTCTGTAAGTATTTTCAACGATAAAATCAATAATAATAAAATTAATTTGTAATTTTTGCGCTACAATACAACATAGAAACATTAGATAAATTGAAACTTTACATTCCGAACATAAACATTAAATTTACACATGTAAAGATTATTTCAATAACTACCTCAATCTTTCAATTATAAATTATATAATTTTTATAAAAATATCAGTGCACAAAAATTTGTGAAATAAATAAATTTGTTGATACATAAATCTCTATCGTGAGGAAATAAACTAAACAAGTATGCACAATCTATAATATAAAAATAGAATGAACGAACTAAATGAATTAACTTGTTTCAATATTATTATATTGTTCAATAAAATTACCATTTTTATGAATGATGTAAAAGCTAAACGTATGGTTTTCACCCTCATATAATACAAAATATTCTCAATAATTTTAAATTAAAATCTTATACCTTTCAGAATTTACGCAGCATATATATTATTAAACTCTTTATTTATTTCAGATGCACATAAGCTACTAACAGGATTTGTTATCGTCAAATATCTTGGAATAAAATAAAAGACCTTCAGTATATTAGTAGAAAATAATTATCAAGTGCAAAATTAAATAAAATAAGAACAAAATTTTTTTTTTTTTTTTTTTTTTTTTTTTTTTTTTTTTTTTTTTTTTTTGTTAAAATACAATTAAAATAATAAATCCATTCTTAAATCTGCAGAATTTCTTTTAATATTTATAAAAAGTTATTAAATATTAATAAGTTAATAATATTAAAGTAATATTATAAAAATTATATATATATATATATATATATGAAAGTTAATGTTGTATGAACAAAGTAGTCTATCATGTCGCAAGAAAAAATCGATAAAATTTTTTATATTTCTAAGAACTCTAACAGGACACATTGATATGGTGAACAGTGAAGTTTAGTAGTTGTCACTCGCGTAAGTATGCGAGCATAGTTTGCGTGCATATATGCACAAGAGATGTTTAAGCTTTGTTGATCGGTTGATCTTAAGGAGTCATTGTCGCTTTTAAGAAGCGACTGACTAGGCTAATTTTCCCTTTGAATGCGATTATTATTAGCTCCAGTTGATCGTTTCATATTTTTCCACTTATCGGCCTTACATAGCGTACGTATTGTAAATGTCAATATCACTTGAATTATTACAGACGTACATAGGTGTCGGCGCATTCGCATAGCTTTGCAAATTGATTGTTTTTATCGATGAAGACAGCTTGTATCTCAGGATTTACATGTTCGCAATTTCAACATAATGAATCGTTGACTTTAGACAAATCGTAAGAAATGTTGGTAGCTCATTTCTTTATTTAGTATTTAAAAAGCTCGGTTAAATTAAAAAAAAAAAAAAAAAAAAAAAAAAAAAAAAAAAAATTTCAACCTTCCACTAGATTTCGTTTAGCAAGTTTATATTAATAATTAAAACTATGATTGTAATTTTTTCACTATACAGATATTTGGATTTCAATCTAGGGTTTGTATATGAATAAATAACAACGATAGTATAGCAGAAAATATTGATTTGAGAAAATTGCACATCACAATCGTGTAAATAGATGTTCTGTCGTTATAATACAAGACTCAAATACTTTGACATATCCAGAAATTCATTGAGAAGTTATTTTACATAAAACTGATTTGCATTTCTTCTATTATTGTTCTTATGAACAAATAAATAAC